GGATGTACCGTTTAGTGCCATAACTATAATGCCAAATCCCTGCCCTCTGATAGTCTAGCTGCACGCTGTCATTGGTTTAATGGATACCCTAAATTGTTTACCGTGACCGTGCCATGCGTTGTGCACGCGCAAAAGTTTTTTTATCCTGCGCAATAGGCTGCTGAAACCCAGTACTTTTATATTGTTAGTAGTAAACATAAGCGCGCGCTGTAATTGGTTTAAAGTATGTCYTCAATGTTTTACCGTGACCGTGCYACKTGCTGTTTACGTGCRAAAGTCGTTTGCCGCGCGGRAACCGYACAARAGARTTTGYGTTGAACCTCTCTTTGGGTCTTCTGTAACRTGAAGMGTTCAGAGACCAGCTTCGTTCACATCGCCATGGYGWMGCTAGGGGCAACCGCTCGCCATCGCCACGCTGGTTATGCTTCTMTCTRACATACACARCTWTATGTTAACCAGTARTCATTGTTTAACAGGTCCACATCCACGCAAAGAACACGTGAAACAAGCTGGCTCACTAAAAAAGGTAYATGCATATTATGTACGCCAAGGCTGTAATAGAGAAACATCTCGTTGGCGGGAAATAGTATGAAGTCATTCCGTAACTATAGTCGCTAATCTTTTATGGTTGAGCGGTGTTCCGGGCTGTCTAAATGTCGTTAATTCCCCGCCCCAGGATTGGAAAATGATCATGATGCTCGTCTTAACAAATTGTATTTTTTTCAGGGTCTCTCTGCCACGACTTCAGAAGTCTCGGATTGCGCTTTAGAAACAGAAGTAAGTAACCCTTATTTATTTGCATATTCTGATAATTGACTGTTTTAAGATTTTCCGTGGATCCCTTGTCTTTGCCAGCCCTTTTCTTTCATTGCAGTCCATGGCGCATTCAGTATCGTTATGTTTACACTAGTGTTATTTTTGTATTGCTATCTTTTAGGATGAGGAACAAGACTCACTTGCAAAAATGACTTTCACCGACGACGTCCTTGTCCGAGGAAGAATTCACTTGTGAGTAGTAAAGCTCTTTCACGACCTTTTCTTTGATCTATGAGCAACTTTCTCTCGCCCTTTTTTTCCTTAATAAAAGGAACCCTCTTATTTTTACTCCCATCTCCAAACAAAAAGCATTCSATTATTTCCCTCTGCTTCCGCTCCCCTTAAAACGCGTTATTTCTATGTAGATGTGACTTGGCCGGAAGYGAACGGTTAAAGAAAACACAAGCTGAAGGAGATAGATTAAGCGAAGCTCAGCACATCAACTCGTCGCTGTTGGAGTTAGGGTACGTTTAATGATTATTACCTTTGTTTTCACTTTGATCCTTTGTCCTAAGTTTCAGGAATTCCAATCCCCTTATTATTGGCAGTTATTAAGCTAATGAACTGATCGGTATGTTAACAGGAACGTCATCCATGCGTTAGCTGACGGCAAGCACACTCATGTACCATTCCGTAATTCTACATTRACAAGACTGCTACAAGAGAGTCTGGGAGGAAACTGTAAAACTAGTCTTATTGTAAGTRCATTTATACCTCAAAGTAATTGATCAGTATAGAAGGTTTAWCGTTCAGTGGGGAAKCAAGGATGGTGTAKTACTAGTGCACYYGCCTCAACCTCKGAGGTATAAGACTCAGTTCCTGGACTTGGCATCACATGCSTGTCTCTCCAGTTTTTGCCCCCTGATTTTGATCGGCCCAGAGTTCAATCTGTGAGTTAGGCATGCCCTGACTTAGATCAGCCCAGAGGTTGTKTCAGKGTTYGATAAAATTTAAATGAATACAATTTTGGGGGTCTAACTAGTAATTCATTCCTTAAAGGTCTGTGTTTCTCCCACCATGACGGACGTCAGTGAAACCAAAAGTACACTAAGCTTTGGATCTCGCGCTATGAAGATTACGAATACAGCTTATGTCAATGTGGAGGTAGGTTTCATCCTACAWTGTGATTGGATAGTCTGCRTTTCTSTGTTTTTGATTGGTGCAGAGCGAAAGCCATTYGAGTGCCATGATACTGTCAGTTCCCCATGTCATAATTTGATGGCATCAAAGTTAAGGCTGACCTTGACAACAYAGTGAGGCCTAAAGGACTCGACCTTTTACCTACAACACCTTCATATTTTAATTTATTTTGAACTCTTTTATTTYAGGTGGATTACAAGAAACTTAGTGATGATTTGACCAAAATGTTAGACTCTAGAGGTAATTCACCGCATTGTTTCCAAGATTATCATAAAGACGCGCACATGTATGCTTATTTAGGAATATTATTGTAGAGCACGCAGTACACATCTTTTTCCCTTTCTCGCGCCCGTACGCGCGCTTGTTATTACCAATTTGTTTCCTGAGCATGATTGTAATTATATTGATTAAGTCGCTGTTTTGTTTATGTTACAGAAAAAGATATGGAAGACCTAAAAGAATCGTATGAAAACAGAATCACCAAGGTGAAGTTGGAGGCTGAAAATATGCTGAAAAGTTCGATGGATACAGCACAAGAAGCTTTGGCGACAGTCAGGAATTTATTCGAATCTAAGGTAAAATGAATGCTAAAT